AGAAAAGGAGGCTGAGGGGACACCTTATTGCCCTCTGCAACTACCAGAAAGGAGGCTGTAGCGAGGTCGGGGTTGATCTTTTCTCCTGTGACAGGTGCATCAGGGGAGGTTTAGATCGAATATTAGGAAAAAATCCTTCATGGAAAGGACTGTTAAGCATTGGAACAAGCTTCTCAGGGAAGTGGTTGAGTCACTGTCTCTGGAGGTATTTGAAAGACGTGTAGATGTGGTGCTTAGGGACATGGTTTTGTGGTGAACTTGGCAGTGCTAGGTTAACAGTTGGACTTGATGATATTAAAGGTCTTTTCCAACCTAAACGATTCTATGATTCTAAAGCCTACTGCAAGGACTTACTGTGCTTTTGTCTGCAGCAGATGGTACCGGCTGTTGTAGGAGAGAGGAAAATGGATTACATGGATGCTGCTGTGATCTGGCATGGCATTTCCTACATTCCCCTCCCTGGTCAGCAGTGGCCACGTTTCTGTTAGCTACAGCCAGCTTTCAAAAATCTCAGAAGTCTTTTCAAGTACTAAAAAATCCCTTATGAGTTCAGTTTATCTGTTTCGCACAGTACTTACTTAAAGCCTGTATAAAAGGAACAATCTTTGCACTTGAAGAGTTTTTTCCCTCCATGCTTGTCACGGTAGTGACGCCGAATGCTCTGTATGTAACCCGAAGAGAATTCACAAAATTCACAGTTAAGGATGGCTTCTGTTTTTTCCATGCCTGCAGCACTCCCAGAAAGTGGGATTGGGCTGATGTTGCTGTTGTTTCTGGCCAAAGCTGCAGACTGGTAGTGGTTCAACTGCTGCTGAACATCAGGAGGCTCAGAGTATGAAGAGTCTGTAAAGAAGCAGAGTGAAGTTGTTATTGTATGTGGATCAACAAATCCAAAACTGTTCGAGGCCTGCTCCAGCACCTATTGGCTTTCAGAGGCGTTGATCAAGATGTTGGTTCTGAAATCCACTAATAGCTTTATGAAGGGATTAAGAAAAAAAGGTGTAGCATTTCTTAATCTAATCTAATGTGTACTCTACAATTTAAAAATTCAGTATCAATTATGCTTTTTAGACCTCATTTGGGGAGGAAAGAAGAGATAGATTTAAATTAAAGGTAGTCTAAAAAGAAGTCTAGTTTTAAGACACTTTTTATTTGTCAAGGTAAAGAACACTAATCATACTGCCACATGTTTATGGTTTTGCTGCATAAATCAGAGCAGATCCTCTCACACGTCTTATGCCAGTTTACACCAGATCACGATCTGGCATAGGACATATGTGAATAGCCTATCTAAAAAGAAAGGAGGAAAAGAAGAAAGAAAAGACAAATGGATACTCTTCTCTACTTATTCATGGAGTTAAGAAACCGACATCAAAAGTTAACATTAGCGGAATGATACAATTTTACTTTGTCACGTTTGAAGCATTCTGACAAAACACAAATTCAAGTTCTCCTAGCTGCTGATGTTTGAAATGAAGTCATCACTGGAAAAAAGTGTATTTAATCTTAAATTCCAGTAAAGCAAATTTCTAAACCACATTTCCTTAGAAGATGCTAAGCTGTGCTATACTGAGAGACACACCTCTTTATACTGATACATCTGTATAGGTGCATCCCTTCTACAAGGCAGCTGAACTCATTCATACCACTTTAAATGGCATGTGAAGAAACACAGTCCAGAGATGTCGCATTACTGAAACTGAAAGCTATAATACTTTAATTGGACCTCCAGAAGAAGGAGAGGGTGTTGTTGAACCTTTCTCAACATGCTGCTTCAATGTGGAGGTTAGGAACTCATCTGCTTTGTCCTACATAACCCACAGCTGCCCATGAATTGCACAAATGAAAACAGAATAATAAAGCACAGATGAATTTCAGCGTAACTTTCCTGAAAAGAAGACTTATCTTTTCTGAAAGATGAGGGGAAAAAAACAAGGAGGGGTGGAGAGAGAGGGAAGCCTGAAGTTGGGATACTGAAGTCAAGATAGAGAAGTCAGGCTGTACCAGCCACCTCCTGCTTTGATGAGTACTTCATTTTCCAGAGCTTAATTTCCTGACAGATATGTGGGAATTCTCCAATACATACTTGTGAGAACTTAACACCATCCATTCTAACCAATTAGTATGGAGGAACAAAAGGCAAACAGGCCTATACAGCACTCAGTGAGGGGACTCCTCCACCTGCCTTCAAATGAGAAAATGCTTGCTTTTTTTTCTCACTCCCACAGAAGGGGTTATGCATGCCTGAGAAATGAAAAATAAATTAACAAGAGCAAAAAACCAAAACACGAGCAGGAGATAAACACCTCCAAGCTCCTCTGGCTTCATCACCAGGTGTACAGCAAAGACAAAGGCAGACACATGAAAGATTCCGGTAATACGAATTAAATACTTTTTGTTCTTTCTATCCAAGCCCCATGAACTGAGGCTGGATTACAATGCAGCATTTATCATCTCTTGTTTCCACCACTTCTGCAGCAAGTTTGCTCTCAATGAGAGCACACAGTGAGCTTTGCCCATTCAAAGGTCAAGGGTTTCTTTTCCTTGTGCATGAAGCAGGCTCCCCCTTTCCTTTACTTCGGCACAGGAGGGGCGTGAGAAGCTGCAGTCCTCTGCAAAAGTCTTCTCCCTCAAAGGTATAAACCATGTGCTCAGCCTCTTTTGGAACATAACCTTGAGGCCCAAAATGATGCAAGGTTCAGAGCAGATTTGGTGACTTGCATGTATCTGCAGCACAGTGTCTGGGCTACCAGGCTCAATGCTTCTGAAAGCTCAAAACGCTAAAGTTAGACAAGGATATGATAGCCCAAAAAAAGTTCATATGTCTGAAGACAGTTCTTTTTGTACGTGTACTACTCGAATTACTTGTAGGGTACTGATTAAAGTCTACTTTGTAGTTTACTGTTCCCTGCCCCAGGAAGAAGGGATAAAAAATTTCCATCACATTAGGATTCCCGGCCAAAGCCTCAGTGATATGTGCTGCTAAGAAAGTTACAGGTTTGAAAATTATTATTTTCAGAACAATGAAGTTTTGTTGTTGTCTGGAAGATCTACTGTACTTCAGATGTTTTTACTTCCCCTATCGTCTGGTGTCTGTTACTCCAGTTTTTGAACTTTCAGTTGGATATTCTGCGGAATCTGGCATGTGAAAACTGCAGAGTAGATAGCTAAATCTCTAATCCCACAGAAAAAAAGTACAAAAAGTAGCTTTCCTCATCATCAGGAATAGCCAAAAAGAAAATTCTACCTTTAATATTTGAACTCTTACTTTCTTTTAACCAGGATTCATGCTGGCCACCTTACAAATTTTAGTACATTGCTCAATTACAGTTAGGAAATTGTACAATTGTACAATTACATGAAAAAGCCACCTGAAGAACTTATATGGAGAATCTTACAATTAAGTAACAGTAGCATGCATGTCTGTAGTCCTGCCTGTGTATTCTTCCCCTTTTCCCTTGCCAAAGGCTTTCATCATTTTGCAATCCTTCTGGAGCACAAGATTTAGCACTTCCTGAAGAAAACCATCCATGATTAATACATTTGTACAAAGGTTCTCTTGGTTTCTGACAATCAGCTTGCCAGATAGCTATCTTAGCATGCAGGCGCAACTCAGCTCCACCAGGAGCTCTTCAGACAAGAGTTCAAAGCCAAGCAAAGTCACGTGAGGTTTTCCACCAACTTCACCATCGTTCAAAAGTAGTACCTGAGAGAATGACTATGGAGGCCAATCCACAGCTGAGGAGCAACAGCACTGCCTCAAACTGGCAGAGCACTTCT